TATTCTCTTTTTAGAGGTGTTTGGGAAATGAGAATAGAAAAATCATGTGAGTTCTGCCACTCCTGTTTTAGCCAGAAGTCTTTGATTTATATTCTCAGTGTACCATTTTTACTAATGTGTTGAGAATGAAGACTGAGGCATGACCCAGTGGGGCCTGAGGAAAGAGGGGGTCTGAGATGCAAGGGAAATGGAATTGACAGCACAGGCTGTCTGCTGAGCAGGGGAAGGAATAGCACCTGCCTTTCTCACCCTTTTCATCCATATTTTTTATTGGTGCATTAAAATTATACATATGGTGGGATTCATTGTTATATCTTTGTACATATACATGATAAAACAATATAATTTGGCTAGTATCATCCCCTAGTGTTTCCCCTTTGCCTGTTCTCCTCCCTTCCCCTGGTCCCCCTTCTACTTTACTGATCTTCCTTTGATTTTCATGGGATTCCTTGACCCCCTTTTCTATTCCATGTTCCTCTCTGGCTTCCACAAATGAGAGAAAAGATATGAACCTTGACTTTCTGAGTTTGGTTTATTTCATTCAAGGTTTTCAAGTTCCATCCATTTTCCTGAAAATGATATAATTTCATTCTTCTTCATGACAAAATAAAGCTCTATTGTATATGTACACCACATTTTCTTTATCCATTCATCCATTGATGGACACCTCAGCTGCATAGTTTGGCTGTTGTGAATTGTGCTGCTGTAAGCATGGGTATGCATGTATCACTATCGTGTGATGACTTTAATTCTTTAGGATTAATATTGAAGAGTGGTACAGCTGGGTCACCTGGTGCTTCCATTCCTAGTTTTTGAGGAACCTTCGTACTGATTTCCATGGTAGTTGTACTAAATTTCAGTCCTGCCAACAGTGTAAAAGTGCTTCTTTCTCTCCATGTCCTTTCCAGCATTTATTCTTTGTATTCTTGTTTACTGCTATTTTAACTGGAGTGAAATGAAATCTCAGTGTAGTTTTGATTTGCACTTTCCTAATTGCTAAAGATATTGGAACATTTTTTAAAGTATTTGTTGGCCATTTTTTTCTTTTGAGAAGTGTCTGTGCCCATTTATTAATTGAGTCATTGGAGGGGTTTTTGAGTTCTTTATATAGTCTGGATATTAATTCTCTGTCAGAACAGTTGCTAGCAAAGGCTTTTCTCCCGTTCTGTGGAGTCTGTCTTCAGATACTTGTCTCCTTTGCTTTGCAGAAGTTTTTAAATTTGATGTCATTTCATTTATTAACTTGGCATTATTTCCTGAGCTATAGGGGTCCAATTGAGAAAGTCATTGCCTGTGCTGAAGTGTTGACCCTGCTTTTTCTTCTAGGAGTTGCATAGTTTCTGGTCTAATTCCTAGCTCTCTGATCCATTTTTTAAAAATATTTTTTTAGTTGTAGTTAGACACAATTATTTTATTTTATTTATTTATTTTTATGTGGTGCTGAGGATCAAACCCAGTGCCATGCATGTGCTAGGCAAATGCTCTACTGCTGAGCCACAACCCCAGCCCCCCATTTTTAAAGATATTTATTTTTTAGTTGTAGTTGGACACAATATCTTTAATTAATTTATTTATTTTTATGTGGTGCTGAGGATGGAACCCAGGGCCTCACCTGTGCTAGGCGATCACTCTACTGTTGAGCCACAACCCCAGCCCTCTCTGATCCATTTTGAGTTGACTTTTGTTAAGGGTGAGAGGTAAGGGTTTAGTCTTCTTCTTCTACATATGGACAACCAGCTTTCCCAGCACTATTTGTTAAAAAGTCTGTTTTCTCCAATGTATGTTTTTGGCACCTTTGTCAAAGTTCATTCTATCTGTGTGGGTTTGTCTGTGGGTCTTCTATTCTGTATCTTTGGTTTATATGTCTGTTTTTATGCTTGTACCATGCAGTTTTTGTTACTGTAGCTCTGTAGTATAATTTGAAGTCAAGTGTTGTGATACATCCAAGCATTGCTTTTTTTGGGTGGGGGTGGGGGGTACTTAGAATTGCATTAGCTATGCTGGGTCTTTTATTCTTCCAAAGAATTTTAGGATTTTTTTTTATAGTTCTGTGAAGAATGTCATTGGTGTTTTGATGGGGATTACATTGAATATGTATGTTTTTTCGTAATCTGACCGTTTTAGCGTATCAATTCTGCCCATTCATGACATGAGAGATCTTTCTGTATCTTCTTCAGTTTCTTTCTTCATTGTCGTATAGTTTTCCTTGTAGAGGTCTTTCACCTTTCACCTCCTTGGTTAGATTTATTCCTAGGATTTTTGTTTGTTTATTTGTTTTGAGGGTATTTTCACCTAGTTTTGGAAAACCATATAGATGGTTGAATATGTTTATATCCTTGGAAATGAGGGGGCAGTGAGGGCTTTCAAAAAATTCTATAGTTCTTCACATTCATTGTCAAAAATTGGAAATTATAATCAGTTGAAATAGAAATAACATAATTTAAACAAATATATAAGGTCTCTAGCTTCCCACTTCTACAGTAGTTCCTGTACTAGTCCCCAGTTCTGGAGCATTTAGGCCCATACTACTCTTCCCTGGGGTGGAGCTTTCCTTACATGGCAGTGCCCTTGGTGGCAGCTTGAGGTCTGATGGTTCAGTTACCTGGTTCTTGTGACATAGGACGAATGGTTTCTCAGAGTTGGGAAGCAGCTATTCAGAGGCTTCCCTTTACTTTTAGGGTTTATAGGATTGTGAAATGACTGTGTTTCTTTTAGCACCTGCAGAGAAGTTTCCCAAACTTTTGTTGTGAATCCTCAGATTATACTTGGTTTCCACCTTGTAGCCCCACAGTGTGCACTCAGCAGCCAGCCAAACTGGAAAATGAGCGAGTAGTAAAGGTGTTTTCAACAGAGAGTTCATGCAGCGTCTTCCGTTGTGACTCACATAAGGAGCAAAGTGGAAAGAAAGATTATGGTGATCATTAAATTGTATAATGGGATATTTATCTTATTATTTTTTTAAACTGGGGATTGAGGTACATCCCCAGCCTTTTTATTTTATTTATTTATTTAGACAGTGTTTTGCTGAGTTGCTGAGGCTGGCCTCAAACTTGCTATCATTCTGCCTCAACCTTCTGAGCTGCCAGAATTACAGGAGTGCACCACTGTGCCTGGCTGTTTTAATGTTGTTTTTATCAGTTACCTTCAATTTGCCCCAACCATCCAGGGTTTGAAGAAGGGCTTTAAAACAAAGATTTGTTTTTCTGCCCTGTAGTTACAGTACGTAGAAGAAGAGGTACACAAGTGTATAACAAGTGTCTGCTGCCACTCTACCATGAGTAGCATTGAGCAAACTGCTGGCTGTATGGGGGTGGGTCCTGAATTGTGTCTCAATTCCTCTTAACACACAAAAGTCACAATTGGTGTTTGTCCTGTTAGGATAAGTAAGATCTGTTTCTCCTTTCAAATCTTGTATTTCTTTTTTAAAAGAACAAAAATTGGATTGCCTTTTCTAATTAATTATAAAATTCAACACTGACTTTAGTGAATAATTCCATGAATATGTTCACATGTGGATCATGATGCGGAAGCAGTCAGAAACAATGGTACACTTTGGAGGGCACTGCGACCCCAGCCTGATCCCTGCACCAGACTTCATGAGTGTTTGGAAGGGGAAGAATCAGCATTTATCAGACACAGTTTGTGTAGGTGCTTGGAGCCCACCACATAGCTGGTAGATCCTTGAGCTCGCTTTCTTATTTTAAGCCATTCTTTGGAAGTATTCCCCTTATTACTCCTATTGTTTGTATTTATTGGTAAATTATAGTATTCTGTATTAAAAGAAAACGGAATGTAGTAGCTAATTTGTATTTTTCTGTTATTATGATCATAGCAGGGAAAAAAAGAATAAAAAATATGACTGCCCAAAGGCAGATCAACTGGTCAGCCCAAATCCATATTATACATATCCAGAGTTAGTTTATAACATGAATAAAAAACTGAATCACAGAGGGAAAAAAGGCAGGCTTAACTTACCTGATACCAACTTCTAATGGTGTTTTTCTCCTTTTTTGAGGGGAAGTGGTAGAATTTTCTTCACTCCAGAAGACTCTGAAAAAATTCATCATCTCCTTAACTGAATGTCCTGAAGAATTAAGCCCTTTCTAATTTGAACACAGGCCCCATGTTGGCTGCTGGCCCTTAAGCTTATGTTCCCCCCAAAATTTGTGTCTTTGGATGCAAGAAGAGTTTGGCCCCATGCATACTGCACCCTTCCCAATGGGTCAGCATTTCCTGAGCTCCCGGGCCTGTGGGTGCTGGAGACCATGCTGAGCAAGCAGGCAGACATGGAGAGTGTTTTCAAATCACACCTACTTTCAGAGACCATGCAGAACCTTCTTTCACCCTGAAAACATATTCCCCCCCCCCACAGCAATAGGTTTTGTGAGGCTCTCTTGGCTGTCCTGCTCCTTTAGGAATCAGTTAGGTTTATTCCTGCACATGGGTGGCTGGCTGCATGGCCTACTCTGCTGGTCTTCAGTGAGTGTGACTTGTTCTTTGGAGCGTGTCTTGTGCTTAGTGGGACCAAAAGTGGCATTCTTTCCAGACACATTTACTTAGTAACTGCAATCTCAAGTTTACACTTTTTACTTTTTTTTAATATCTTTACTTATTTACTTTTATGTGGTGCTGAGGATTGAACCCAGTGCCCAGACATATGAGGCAGGTGCTCTACCACTGAGTTACAGCCCAAGCCCCTCAAGTTTACACTTTTTCTTTATGGGAAAAACTTTTCATAATTCTGCCTGCAAAATTATATTGGCCAACTCTAGTTGTTAAGTCTTATTTCTTTAAGCAGTTTATGTCTGTTAACTCTTCTAATGTCATTCGGCTATTGTTAATTGGGCTTTATCTAGGTTCATCTGTGTGCTCTTGCCTATCTAGAAGGATTTCTAATATTTAGATTTTTGTCTTTATACTTACCAGGTGTATAAGAAATTACAAGCATGGAGGGACACTTGGTCATGCAAGACTAAAATTGTAATTATTTTTTTTAACAGATGCAGCAACTTTTTTATGAGAATTATGAACAGAACAAGAAGGGGTACATCAGAGATCTCCATAACAGTAAGATTCACCGAGCTATCACGTTACACCCGAACAAAAACCCACCCTACCAGTACAGACTACACAGTTACATGCTCAGTCGCAAAATTGCTGAGCTGCGTCATCGCACAATACAGCTCCACCGAGAAATTGTCCTGATGAGCAAATACAGTAACACAGAGATTCATAAGGAGGACCTCCAGTTGGGAATACCCCCTTCCTTCATGCGGTTTCAGGCCCGCCAACGAGAAGAGATTCTGGAATGGGAGTTTCTGACTGGGAAGTATTTGTATTCAGCTGCCGATGGTCAGCCCCCCCGGAGAGGAATGGACTCAGCTCAGAGGGAAGCCTTGGATGACATTGTCATGCAGGTGATGGAAATGATCAATGCCAATGCCAAAACCCGGGGGCGCATCATCGACTTCAAGGAGATCCAGTATGGTTACCGCCGTGTGAACCCCATGTACGGGGCAGAATACATTCTGGACCTGCTGCTTCTGTACAAGAAGCACAAAGGTAAGAAGATGACAGTTCCCGTGAGGAGGCACGCATACCTACAGCAGACTTTCAGCAAGATCCAGTTTGTGGAGCATGAGGAACTGGATGCACAGGAGCTGGCCAATAGAATCAATCAGGACTCTGGATCCCTATCCTTCCTCTCCAATTCCCTGAAGAAGCTTGTTCCCTTCCAGCTCCCTGGGTCCAAGAACGAACGCAAAGAGCCCAAAGATAAAAAGATAAATATACTGATCCCTTTGTCTGGACGATTTGACATGTTTGTAAGATTTATGGGAAACTTTGAGAAGACATGTCTCATCCCAAATCAGAACGTCAAACTTGTTGTCCTGCTTTTCAATTCTGATTCCAACCCTGATAAGGCCAAACAAGTTGAACTGATGAGAGATTATCGCATTAAGTACCCTAAAGCTGACATGCAGATTTTGCCTGTGTCTGGAGAGTTTTCAAGAGCTCTGGCCCTCGAAGTGGGATCTTCACAGTTTAATAACGAATCTTTGCTCTTCTTCTGTGATGTTGACCTTGTGTTTACTGCCGAATTCCTGCAACGGTGTCGAGCAAATACAGTTTTGGGCCAACAAATATATTTCCCCATCATCTTTAGCCAGTATGATCCAAAGATTGTTTATAGTGGGAAAGTTCCCAGTGACAACCATTTTGCCTTTACTCAAAAAACTGGCTTCTGGAGAAACTATGGGTTTGGCATTACTTGTATTTATAAGGGAGATCTTGTCCGAGTGGGTGGCTTTGATGTTTCCATCCAAGGCTGGGGGCTGGAGGATGTGGACCTCTTCAACAAGGTTGTCCAGGCAGGTTTGAAGACGTTCAGAAGCCAGGAGGTAGGAGTGGTACACATCCACCACCCTGTCTTCTGTGACCCTAATCTGGATCCCAAACAATACAAAATGTGCTTGGGGTCCAAGGCATCAACGTATGGGTCCACGCAGCAGTTAGCTGAAATGTGGCTGGAGAAAAACGATCCAAGTTACAGTAAAAGCAATAATAATGGCTCTGCACGGACAGCCTGATGTCCAGCTCTGCTGGAAGGGACATTTTTAATTACCTAATTTATTTTTCAAAAATTTTTGTATGATCAGTTTTTGAAGTCCATACAAGGATATATTTTCCAAGTGGTTTTCTTACATAGGACTCCTTTAAGATTGAGCTTTTTGAACAAAAATGTGATCAATGTTTGCCTTTGAATACATCTTCTTGCTGAACATTATGTAGCAGACCTGCTTAATTCTGACTTGAAATATCCCTGATGAACAAAACCTTTTATGTTTTTTTATATTTCCTTTCCTGGCCCCTTCTCTGCAGTCCTATGGCAGAAAACATGAACATTCCTATGAAGTATTATTATAACAAACAAACAAAAAAACACTGTAACTCTGGTAAATGTTCTATTGTGACTGTTAACCTTGCACAGATTCTACCTTTTGTCTTTTTTTTTTACACAAGTTTTTTTTTTTAAAGCCATCTCAAGTTCCAGTTGTAAAATAAGTAAATGTGATAATATCTGTATCATTAGCATCAGCATCTTCAGCAAAGCTTTCCAAAGTTGATTATTTCCCCCACACTGTACTCTACCCATCAAGGTCAAGTAGCTTTGACAAGCAAGAGGAGTGAGGACAGCACAGCCAGAGCTGGGGTGGTTCCCGGGATGCCGTGGCCTGAGCAGGCCTGGCACCACATTGTGAGAAGTGTTTGGCATTTTCTCTCTTGCTGACCCTTCTCTTTAGAGGGTGAAGTATTAATATTTAGAATGATGAAGAAGAATTACTGTAATAATTCTAATGTATGCAAACTAAACAAACAAAAACACCCTAATGAAAACATGGGGGGAGGTGTATTTGGTTTCATTCACTTCGTCCTGTCTGTTGTAGAGTTGGTTACTTCATTCTTTAATTACTGTTTGTTTTATCCTTGACATCTGAATACCTTTAATTTATTTAATATCCATTGTTTAGAGTTCTGCCATTTCTTGAGTACCTGTTAGTATTAGTATTTATGTGTACCAGGAGTGTGGTTAGTATGTTTTATTTGCAGTAAACCGATCTCCAAAGATTTCCTTTTGAAGAGACTTTACCCCTTTCTTAATTTTCACATTCCTGTTTTACTAAATATTAAGTGTTCTTGGACAATTTTGGTGCTCATGTGTTTTGGGGACAAAAGTGAAATGACTTTGTCATTACACCAGAATGTTTGTTTTTAACTCACAGATCAAATGTGCCTTAATTTTTTTTTTCATTTAAATTTCAAACAGTTGATAGGCTTGCCATTTTAATACACATCATTGGAGATCTGCTTATTTGTAAATAGCCTATTGCTCATTTGGAAAAATAAACCAGTGAACAATATTTTTCTATTGTACTTTTGAAAACCATTTTGTTTCATTATTCCTGTTTTAGCTGAAGAATTGTATTACATTTGGAGAGTAAAAAAAACTTAAACACAGATTCATAAAGTTTTTTGAGTTATTTGAGGGAAGTATTTCTATGGGCTGCAGTTGGGGAGTGAAATGAAACTCATTTTCAAGTGTCTCTTCCTCTGTTTTTCCTAGAATGGACTCTTCTCCTTTGTTCCTCATCTGCTTGCTAACTCAGTTTTCTCAAAACAGACCAGGCCCTTGTCAGGCTCCACAATACAAGTGCACCTTCCAAGCTCCGTTGAATCTGCATTTTAACTTAGTGCCCCATATGTTTGATTAGTGTTTAACTAGCACTGTGCATATATGTTCTTGGGGTTTTTAGGACCATTCTAGCTAGAAAATAACTTTAGAGTTGCTATCTGGTTCAACATTTTTAAAAACTGATCTCTGATGCCAAAGTAGCAAACTTTTGTGGATGAGAATTACACTCCCAGGAGAGGTATTTACAGTGTAATGACAGTTAAATCCCAGCATAATGACATCGTGCTCACAGAAAGAATTGCTGTAATTCTGCCTAATTGCCATTTACTCTGTGGGAGTGTTTAGTTTTTTTTCTTGGGAAGAAAAGCAGAGATACTTTTATTCTCCAGTAAGGAAGAACATGATCCACATTTTGATGTCAAAGTCATGTTTATCCTCACAGAATTGTAGGGATTTGGATTTGGGTTGGGGACATGAGCAACAAACATATGAAGCTGAATGTCCATCTGTCCAGCATCTTGGTGACACCTGGCTAAACTTGCCATTTCCTTTCCTGCTCCCTCTCTCCTGACTGCCCGTCCTCGTTACATCCATGGAAGTGCTGCCTCCCTTCAGGGCTGTCTCCAGGAATGCTTTCAGGTCCCAGCTCCCCACCCCCAGCATGCTTGGATGCTGCCTGCTGGCCTCCAGGTTCCACTCTCCTCCTGCTCCTCAGTCACTTCAGGGCTTCCTTCTGCCAGTGGGTGGAGTCCATAATCTCACTGCCACTCAGGCCCTCTTCAGCTTGGCTTCCACCTCCAGGTCCATCAATCTCCATTCTACAGGGCACTTCCTCCAGCCATCCCAGCTCCGGATTTGGGGGCATTCATCTCTGCTGCTCCAGCATGTGTTTTCTCTCCATGCTTTTACTCTGCAGCCAGAACACCCTATTGTTCACTCTGATGGCATCCAGGACCCTTCCTGTGTGGCTGTGATCGGGGGACTTACTCTTATGCTTTTGTGAAAATGTCTCCCTTTTTAGACCTCCTGGAGGGCAGGTATGGGTCTCTTTTCTGGTGCTCCCCAGTGTGTAGGGAAAAATGGTGCTACTCTCCACCTGTGTGCCCTTCCTTACCTGGATCCCTTCCTAACAGAATGTCCTATGGCTTTCCCACAAGTCTTGGCCACCATTGGAAGGCTGAGATCTGCAGCTTCCACTCTGTTAAATAGTCCCTTCTCCCCTTGAACTTGGGAAGCTGTTTATACCACTTTCTTCCTACTTTGTGTTAGCATGCATTACTGTCTTCTTAATACTCCTCTGCCTTAAAAATAAAGCAAATATCCCCAAACCCAAACACACCTTTCAACCCTTATTATCAGTATTTAAAAATAATAATAGGGGAATAGGGTTAAAAAGTGGGGAGGAAATCACCATGCATAAAGGCATGAAAACGGAAGCCGCCCTTTCTGTCCAGCCTTAGGTCCTCCCTACAAAGAACTACAGGGTGTGTGTCCTGGCTGTAGAGGTGCATGTGTGTGTGAATGAATTATGCGTAGATTAGAATAGGCGGCATTTTACAAACCAGTACTGAAAATTTATGTACTGGCTTAGGTACATGAATCTTGTCAAGAGCCTTTTAAGAAACTATAGGGCAGAAGCAACCATGGCTTCCCAGGGGCTCTGTGACAGTGTATGGGCAGGGCAGTGGACTTTGAGGCACTATGGTTACACGTCACGAGCCCTGCCTGGAGTGAGCCAGAACAGCCTCATCGTAAGGCCGGGTCACTTGGTTGGCACAGGTATTCTGGGCCAGGATAATCCTGGAGCATGGACCCTAAGACCCTCATGTTTAGAGAAGAAGGCCAGGTGTCACACAACACAAGCTGTGAGACATCCCTTTGGGCTGCAGAAGCAGGCAGGCCACTGGGAGTGAGGAGAGAGCATCCCCTTCACTCAGGACTGAGAGCAAGAAGGAAGTGGAAACCCCTTTTATGGGCTTGCAATTCAAGTTCAGGAGCCCTGGCCTCCTTCCTGCCCAGCCTTTTGACCACATCCTATTACGAAATCTTCAAAGCCTGGCCTTGACACAGCTCGGGAGTGGATGTGTGATTTCTTCTTCTCAGACCAAAAGATGCAGGAGGACCTGGCTAATACACACTTTCACATACCCAACATTTGTCATGATGTTTGACCCAAGCCAAACAACAGTGAGGTTTTGCTGTCTCCTTGTGCCCTTGAGTAGCACCTGAAAATCTAGGTGTTCTGTGCAGCCACTTCCATTTGTCACTACATTCATGAACTCAAATGTATGTGCAAGCAAGTATAGTTGCTGTGCCCTTAAGGACACACTTAGGTTAAGGGGACCTACAGACTTTCAGACATGTTGCCTCTGCTGCTGGGGTATTGCCTTTCAAGACCTGCTCTTCAGAAAGGTGGCACACCTACAGGGCTCCTGTCCACTGAACCATCTGCCAATGGCTGAGGGGTTTTGTCTGAACCCCAAGTGCCCGAAGTCTTTTCTTAGGCTGTCTTTCATGAAGGGAACCAAAGCCCTCCCCACACCTGCCCAGACGCCTGCCCTGGGGGATTAGGCTGCATTACTCCTGTATGAAATGCTGTAATCTCTGCTGCAAAGGAGCTTATGTGCCACGCGACCAGGGAGCCAGCTGGGGGTCTGTTGGCTAAGGTGGCTGTACAGGGCTGCCACCTGCCTGGGTGGGTCTCATGGTAATTTAAGAACGTGAAGGATGGCTCCTGTTCCATTTGTAAGGCAAATGCCCACAGCAAATTTGCTTAGTCTAATTTGTTATAAATGCACTAAAAATGGAAAAATCACAATGCATTGGGTCAGATTACAGCAACTCATTGTATGTGAAGGAAAAAACCTCTCGTATTAGTTTTCCTATGCTTCAGAGTTTTATTTGGTCTTTTGCAGAGAAGTGGGGGTTAGAATTGGTATAAATCTTCAACCAGAAATCACAGGGCCACGTAGGCCAGGGGCTGGCTTGTCGTCAGTGCAGTTAAACCACTTAAATATATGTTGTCATAATTTTGAAAGCATTTAATTTGCCATTAATTGTACCTCAGTTTGAGGATCTCCATGTCATGCTAATCTACACAAAAATGAAATTTTGTCCTGTAAAGAACATTCTAGCTATACTTTATTTAAAATGGCAAGAGTAGCCAGGTATGGTGGTGGTACACACCCGTAATCCCAGCAGCCCGGGAAGCAGGAGGATCGCTGATTCAAAGCCAGCCTCAGCAACTTATTGAGGCCCTGAGCAACTTAGTGAGACCCTGTCTCAAAATAAAAGAGGGCTGAGGATGTGGCTTAGTGATTAAGCACCCCTGGGTTTAATTCCTGATACCAAAAAAAAAAAAAAGAATAATAATAAAAAAAGCAAGAATAGTTATGCCTGGCTGCTTTTTAACTAGAAAATATAAGTTAATTTAATCATTTAAATGGTGCAAATTAAGCTCTGAAATCTACTTAAATGAAGCCGTTGTTATCTGGAATGAATTTCTCTCCATGAGGTAGTCCAGCCCAGTTAAGCTGGCTCTTCCGATGCTACCTTTCTCTTGCTGATTTGTCACAACTTACTTTGGTGTCTGTGTGAAGCCACTCCCCTTGGGGGTCCTGGATAGCTGCCCTATGTGTGTTCCCATTGAGAAAAACAAAACCTTTCTAGTCAGATTTTAAAATCATTAATTTTGAATTAAATATAAGTCTTCCTTTAGGCAAAAGCTTACTTCTCAGAACATACCAAGGGCAGTGTTGGTGCCAGGCTTAACATGTCCTGAAGCCTTCTTCCCTTCCTGCAATTTAGAGGCTAGAAATGAACCATTTCTAACAATGCACTTTGAAATGATCCCAGTCCTGTTGTGAAGGAAGCAATTCAGATTTGTTAATGAATTCTGTTTCCTGCCTTGTAAATGACGATGTTAACCACACCATAAAGAGCATATACAGTTGACCCTCTCCCTGAGGGTTGCACTTCCATGGATTCAACCAACCTCCCATTGAAAATCTTTGGAGGGAAGAATTATGTGTAAAGAACATGTACTAAATTAATGGCACAATTAATGGCAAATTAAATGCTTTAAAAATTATGACAACATATTTTTGTTCTTTGTCATCATTCTCTCAACAATACAGTGTTAACAACTATTTATAAGAGGTCTATGTTGAATTAGGTATTACAGAGTATACAGGAGGATGTGTGTAGGGTCTATTTTATTATACGAGCTTCCACTAACGTTGGTATCTGGGGTGGGGGGTGGCAGGCAGGGTAGAATCCTGGAACCAAGCCCAGGGGATAATAAGAAATAATGGCATATGTAAGGAAGAAAGGAAGGGAAGGGAAGGGAAAGATCAACAGTCTCATACTCCCTGTTCCACTCTGGCAAGTTCCTGTGGGGGGTTTCACGTGTATTTACGGTTTGTTGTAATGGTGGACATACAGTTTGGCATCTTGAACTTTCTTTCCTCCACAATGATAATTTTTTTTTCCTTTTCTTTTTTCATATCAAAATTCTTTTTTTTTTTAATTTTTTGTTTATTTATTTTATGGTAGAATGCATTTTGACAGATTGAACACAAATGGAGCACAACTTCTCATTCCACTGGCTGTACATGGTGCAGAGTCCTCCAGTAGTGTATATAGGGTAATAATGTCTGTCTCATTCTACTGTCCTTCCTATCTGCACAATCCTACCCCTCCCCTCACTCCCCTCTACACAAACCAAAGTTCCTTCATTCTTCTCTGTCCACCCGCCCCACTATGGATCAGCATCTGCTTATCCGAGAAAACATTCGGCTTTGGTTTTTTTGGGATTGGCTTATTTCA